ATAGCTGATCCTCAGGAGACAAGCGTCGCCCTTCGCGTAAAACCTTGCGGGGGTTGAGGGTGTGATTGTTGGTCTTCAGGAGACGAGGTGTCGTCCATTGGGGGTTGAAGTTGTCATGACTGGCCCTCAGTTAAGGTTGGAATAGTTGGTCCTCAGGAGACGACGTGTCGTCTTTCATATAAAACCTTATTAAAGTTGCGCTTCACACGTCCATAAAGTGATATACTTTTAAATCGTCAGCGCGATGGGTTTCCAAAATAAAACTGTTTAATGATGGAAAAAGCGAGAGGAATTCTATCGTTAACGGCCGGTTTTATTACCAGCGATCCCCCGGAAGCCTGGGCTGGCCTGCCCGCCCACCTCGCATTAAGAATGCTCACGCGCGTCCTGCAGCCTGCTGCTGCCTCTGCTGCTACTGAAGCCTGTTGTCGCTTCTGCTGTAGCCTACTACCGTTGATGCTGCTATAGCTTGCTACTGCTGAAGCTCCTATAGCTTGCTATGGCTGAAGCTCCTATAGCTTGCTACGGCTGAAGCTGCTACAGCCTGCTACCGCTAAAGGTACCTGCTGCTTCTGCTGCTGCTGTTGCATGCTGCCGCTGCTGCCTCTGTTGCCATATACAAATGTAACTTGCGGCTGATGCGGCTGGTGCTACTGATGCTGCTGCTGATGTTTCCAGATTTTTAAGAATGCTCACGCGCGTCCTGCAGCCTGCTGCTGCCTCTGCTGCTACTGAAGCCTGTTGTCGCTTCTGCTGTAGCCTACTACCGTTGATGCTGCTATAGCTTGCTACTGCTGAAGCTCCTATAGCTTGCTATGGCTGAAGCTCCTATAGCTTGCTACGGCTGAAGCTGCTACAGCCTGCTACCGCTAAAGGTACCTGCTGCTTCTGCTGCTGCTGTTGCATGCTGCCGCTGCTGCCTCTGTTGCCATATACAAATGTAACTTGCGGCTGATGCTGCTGGTGCTACTGATGCTGCTGCTGCTGATGTTTCCAGATTTTGCAACCAGTTTACCCTCTCGCCACATGACGTCATTACAGGCTGGCTGGCATTACTGCCTGGCTGGGAGATACGAAAATGCTGGCTGTACAGGCTGCTTCTTTCAGCCTGTGGTCGCTCTGAGCGTTCTGCTGCTACAAGCCTGTTGCTCTCGGTGTGCTGTTTACAAGCCTGTTGCTCTCGATGTGTTGTTTACAAGCCTGTTGCTCTCGGTGTGCTGTTGCTACAAGCCTGTTGCTCTCAGCGTGCTGTTGCTACAAGCCTGTTGCTCTCAGCGTGCTGTTGCTACAAGCCTGTTGCTCTCAGCGTGCTAGTTGCTATAAGCCTGTTGCTCTCAGCGTGCTGTTGCTACAAGCCTGTTGCTCTCAGCGTGCTGTTGCTACAAGCCTGTTGCTCTCAGCATGCTGTTGCTACAAGCCTGTTGCTCTCAGCATGCTGTTGCTACAAGCCTGTTGCTCTCAGCGTGCTGTTGCTACAAGCCTGTTGCTCTCAGCATGCTGTTGCTACAAGCCTGTTGCTCTCAGCGTACTGTTGCTACAAGCCTGTTGCTCTCAGCGTGCTGTTGCTACAAGCCTGTTGCTCTCAGCGTGCTGTTGCTACAAGCCTGTTGCTCTCAGCGTGCTGTTGCTACAACCCTGTTGCTCTCAGCGTGCTGTTGCTACAAGCCTGTTTCTCTGAGCGTGCTGTTGCTACAAGCCTGGTAAAAGCGATGTTCAAATTGAAATGCATTTGACATACACAACAAAATGGATTCTGACGCCTCTTATAATTGAGTTCTTTGTAATTATTACAGGGATTAGGGCGGGATTTGCCAGAGGGATTGCGGGTGACTGGCACTGATGTTGGGTGAATGGCGTCACAGGGTGTGTGGGGGAAATGCAGTAGAAATACAGGGGGAGGTGCCAGAGATGCGGGAGGTGTATTTTATACAGCAAATTTGGATACACAAGGAGAGATTATGTTAGGTAAAAGGACGCACGTAAATCTACCAATATTACTACATCAGGTATGACTGTAGCGGAGAGTCATGCAGTGTGTGCGGTTAGGTACGGTTGCGGGTTCTGTTGAGTTTCTCCCTCTGAGGGAGGTTTATCGAAGTTCATTTCTGGATCTTTCTCCGAGATAGGCCGCTATCCTGCCTCCAGCATCTGCCGGACCTTAAAGATGTGGTCTTGGAAGCTGAGGAATGCAGACAAAACCCCGATGTGGTGAGTACAAACTTTGCACAAGTGGGACCACTGTGTAATAGATCACATAATGCGTGCAAAAGGAATAAATGAAAAAAAATGAGGAGAGGAATATTTAGCCTTGTAACAAGTAGAAGCCAAAAACAGTGAACAAGGTAAAAAATCAATGGCCCCCACAGTGACAAACTGTTCCTCGCAACAATTCTCTTCCGAATTCTCATATCCGGCACAAAGAAATAAATTATAGCACTGTATCATCCTTCGCAGACAATACTAGAATTTATAAGAGTGGCATCCACTAAGGACACAGCGAACCTCCAAGCTGACATAAACCAGCTTTCCAGCTGCCCACATGAAAACAATAATTTGTTCAATCAGGATAAATTTCAGTAACCCCGCAATGGAAAAGTTGAGGAAATAGGAACTGGAAAGTGGTATTAAAAAACTCAAAGGCCTTGACGTCAGTGAGCGGCTCTTCATCCAATGAACTGGAGCTGCCCTCCCCTTCACTGAACCGAAATCGAATGTCTCACCAAATGAATAATAACAAATACAGCAAAATTATAATAACAAAAATAAATTTCCATAGTCATACACGCATACCAATATCCCAGTATCACAGTTTTCAGGCTTTTTCACTTGTGTTGACTATAGCCAATAGATAAATGAACCGTAAATACAAATTCAAATGTACTTCTGTTAGCCTTTTTGGGGCCTAGTTCCTAGTTCCCTCTGTGTATCCAAATGCTTTTGCGCTACCGTCCACAAGATGGATATGGGGTGCACAATAAACTAGCCGCTTCGGTGGCAAAATCTAAATCTCCCAAACCAGTGTCCAGCAGCAGTCAACCATCAAACTGATCGTCAGGTTTCCTTGGTATCCCTTCTCCGTGATGGCTGTCTTGGTGACATCGTTCACCGTAGGGTTCTATGTCACAGAAACCTTACGTGTTGGAGCAAAACTGCGCTTAGATTTTATTTCAGATATTAGAAATACAAGCTTTTAGACGTGAACTGAAGCCATTGTCGGCCAGAGTAATTAGCAGCGATAATGTCAGATCTTATGTTTAATGATCACAACAGTTATCACAACCGCTAAGAAACTGATAAGCTGAAAAACTAGAGCCTTCAAAACAATAGATGCCAGGCCAATAATAATACTTCAAATCATCTGTTCTCTCTAGGCTGGAATACTCCTCTACAATAACAGCCCTTTTTAAGGTAGGCGAAACGTCAGAAAGGTATAAAGTATACAGAACCTTTACTGGACGTATAAATTTAGTCATGCATCTAGATTACTGGAAAAGTCTAAGTCTCTTGAACTGTACTCCTTGGAACGTAGGCGAGAAAGAAGCATCATAATTTACACTCGTCGAAGTTTGGAGGGATGGTGAAGAATCTGCTCACCGAAGTCACTTCTCGGCAGGTGATGCAAAACATCTTCAATCAAAACCAGTAGTGCAATGAATACACTAAGAGACAGCTCAATTAAAAACATAAAAAGACTTAAACGCCCCCACTTCATACATAAGAGGAATTGTCTATGGATCTCTAGCTGCCAAGAGGGAAATTGGTACGTTCATCAATAGCACCAACAGTCTGGTTGATCAAGCCATCAACCAAGTGGCTTGGTCTAGGACGGGGCAGCGAGAGTGGTTACTCTCGGAATCGTCTTCAGGTATCAGCTATATGCAGCCACTTTATTCTATAAGATAGTCATATTGTGGGGACAACAGCTATGTTTCCAGGTGGTGTATTCCATCACACAGGACGGGTCACTCACGTACTGAGTTGAAAGGTGTCAGCCTGAGTTATCCGACTTCAACATCTCAATGATCATTGCCTTTCCACCTTCCCATAGTCACTTAAATGAGTAGGACTGACCTTATTACCCGACCGTCCTTCATTAGATGAGGCCAGAGTACCCTGTCTCCATGCGAGCGTCACCCTGCCTCCACAAGGACGTCACCCTGTCTCCACCCAGCCGACTGCACCAATGCCTTTGTTCATAAACAAGGAACCAACGTAGCAGAATTAACTTGAAAACCAATAGAGTCCTGGGAAGCCGTCCGCGGAAATCATTTTGATATTACCAAGTTGAACTCCTTTGGCAGAAAAAAAAAAAAAAGTTTGACCCGACTTCTGGTACGCCGAGACCTATCTCTGAAGAAAACTCTCGCCCTATGAGACGTTGACACGACACCAGCGACACGACACTCGTATAACACATACACAATTAGGGTCGTACTATTTGGTGTTTTAAGCTGGATGATACGGCATATTGCCGACAAAATAAGCTGCAAGACAAGTTTTCACGGAGACCACGTTTCGCTCTGAGCAGAACTTTATCAAAGCATGAACTGATAAGGCTCTACACGGCACGAGGGTCGTTAAGGCAGCATAACACCTGTACACTACCTGATGAAGAATATTTCAATCCCTTATACAGAAATTAGAGTAAACTCTCCAGGTATATACACAGATGTATACACGTCTGGGTGTAAATAAACTGTCTGGCAGAGCACAGTTCCGAGTCTCTCGCGATCAGGGGACGAGTGGAAAGCCTCCACCACATTTTGCGTTGATCTGCCCAAATCTATAAATAACCTATCTAAAACAACTTGCCGCAACTTAAAACAGCTTTTTTGAAAATAGCCAATGTAACTGACAATTAATGTAGCCCTAAAATAAGCTGAGGCAACCTAAATTACTGAACGGCTTAAAGGTTAAATGACTACGTGTCTCAGAACATTACGTCAGCTCTGTAAAGACGCCAGGAAGTGGCAGCGACGTAAATCAAAGAACACACATACCGAGAAAATCCAATTAAGCAATAAACTGCGATACTGTCAGCAGGTGCTGCCTCCTGGAGGTACTCCTTACAGGTACACCCTCTTGCAGCTACTTCTTGCAGGTAAGCCCTCCTGCAGGTACTTCTTGCAGGTACGCGCTCCTCCAGATACTTCTCGTAGGTACTCCCTCCTGCAGGTACTCCCGAGGCTGCTGTATTAGTCTTGGACAGCAGCAGAAGAGGCTTACACAGCCTACGGAAATTCAAGAACACGCTGTAAATGCTGCTGTAACACGCTGGTCTGGGGAGGCCTAGACTGGGTAGGACTACATATCTTTATTACTGTATCCAAGTCAAGCGCTAAACCCAGGTGGGCCATTCAGATCAACACGATCTGTGGAGGTTTGATACTCCGTGCGCTGAGTGGCAGACAGAAGCGCTGCTCACTGGTACTCACCAGCACAAACAATCACGAAACAATTCACAAATAACCCGCACACACGAGACTGAAGCTTTTGTGACGACGTTGACACCCCTGCCTTGCTTGACACCCCTGCCTTGCTTGACACCCCTGCCTTGCTTGACACCCCTGCCTTGCTTGACACCCCTGCCTTGCTTGACACCCCTGCCTTGCTTGACACCCGTACCTTGCTTGACACCCCTGCCTTGCTTGACACCCGTACCTTGCTTGACACCCCTGCCTTGCTTGACACCCCTGCCTTGCTTGACACCCGTACCTTGCTTGACACCCCTGCCTTGCTTGACACCCGTACCTTGCTTGACACCCCTGCCTTGCTTGACACCCCTGCCTTCCTTAACACCCGTACCTTGCTTGACACCACTGTCCCGCTTGACACCCCTGCCTTCCTTGACACCCCTGCCTTGCTTGACACCCCTGCCCTGCTTGACACCCCTGCCTTGCTTGACACCCCTGCCCTGCTTGACACCCCTGCCTTGCTTGACACCCCTGTCTTGCTTGACACCCCTGCCTTGCTTGACACCCCTGCCCTGCCCGACACCCCTGCCCTGCCCGACACCCCTGCCTTGCTCGACGCCCCTGCCTTGCTCGATACCCCTGCCTTGCTCGACGCCCCTGCCTTGCTCGATACCCCTGCCTTGCTCGACGCCCCTGCCTTGCTCGATACCCCTGCCTTGCTTGACACCCCTGCCTTGCTTGACACCCGTCTTGCTTGACGCCCCTGCCTTGCTTGACACCCCTGCCTTGCTCGACACCCCTGCCTTGCTCGACACCCCTGCCTTTCTTGACACCACTGTCCTGCTTGACACCCTTGCCTTGCTTGACACCCCTGCCTTCCTTGACACCCGTACCTTGCTTGACACCACTGTCCTGCTTGACACCCCTGCCTTGCTTGACATCCGTACCTTGCTTGACACCCGCCTCTTTACACCCTGCTTGTCACACCCCTGCCTTGCTCGACACCCCTGCCTTGCTCGACACCCCTGCCTTGCTCGACACCCCTGCCTTTCTTGACACCAATGTCCTGCTTGACACCCCTGCCTTGCTTGACATCCGTACCTTGCTTGACACCACTGCCTTCCTTGACACCCCTGCACTGCTTGACACCCCTGTCCTGCTGGACACCCGTGTCTTGCTTGACAACCCTGCCCTGCCTGACACCCCTGCTTTGCTTGACATCCATGCACTGCTTAACAACGCTCTCTTGCTTGACACGCCTGTACTGCTTGACACTCCTGCACTGCTTGATACCCCTGCCTTGCTTGACACCCCTGCCTTGCTCGACACCCCTGCCTTTCTTGACACCACTGTCCTGCTTGACACCCCTGCCTTGCTTGACATCCGTACCTTGCTTGACACCCCTGCCCTGCTTGACACCCCTGCCTTGCTTGACACCCCTGCCTTGCTCGACACCCCTGCCTTGCTCGACACCCCTGCCTTTCTTGACACCACTGTCCTGCTTGACACCCCTGCCTTGCTTGACATCCGTACCTTGCTTGACTCCCCTGCCCTGCTTGACAACCCTGTACTGCTTGACACCCCTGCACTGCTTGACACCCCTGCACTGCTTGACACCCCTAACCCTGCTTCACCCCTTACCCTGCTTCATCCCATCTACCCTACTTTACTCCTCCCTACCCTGCTTCACACCCCCTACCCTGCTTCACCCCCTCTACCCTACTTAACCCCCTCTACCCTGCTTCACCCCCTCTATCCTGCTTCACCCCCTCTACCCTACTTCACCCCCTCTACCCTGCTTCACCCCCTCTACCCTGCTTCACCCCCTCTACCCTGCTTCACCCCCTCTACCCTGCTTCACCCCCAACTGTAATTCTAATTTTACTAACTAAAAAGACTTCCTGCCATGTCAAACATCCTCAGATTCTAAGGATAAAAACCCGACATAATTTCCGGCTGGATTCGTGTATGTGAGCGTGTCAGGCTGTTATTTTCACTCCATCAACATAAAACACCTAATAATTACTGCACACGGTGTCAGGTGGCAGGCAGTGTGCCGGACAACTAACACAAAGGTGTTCTATACGTCACACGAGAAAACTAGTGTGAAACGCGTAACAGACACCACAGAGACTCGTGCGTACGTAGCCACTACGCAACACAAACATTCGAAATTCACACACCCCTAATTTTCATCGCAATATATATCATCAACTACACTCAAACTACGAAACATGCACACACTACACGCACGCACGTATCCATCATAAACAACTCGCACAACCCTTCCCCCCCCTCCCCCGACAAACACACACACAGCTGTTAAAATTGTTTCAAAAATCTTAAAAACCAGGATGGAGTCACTACCTGACTAAGTATAACAAAAACCAGAGAAGATCTAAACATTTACAAGATGATTGGTATCAAAACTGGTGGAAATAACTAAAAGCAGAATTATTAGGAACTCAAGCTAATAATCCTAGCCCAGAGGATCAGGAAAAAAATAATATAAAAAAAATATACTCATGGGATTAGATATTGCAAGACACGAACAGTCTGTCTGATCCAGAGCACGAAGATGACAGTTTAAAACACAGATGAATCACAAGGATGTTAGGAAGTGCTTTTTCAGTAACATCTTGCAAATAGATTGAACGAACTTTAGAAGAGGTTTAGGAAAAACACGAAATACAATTACAGTACAAGGAACTATTGTGCCTTGAAAGGCTAGGAATCAGTAAAAGAGGAGTTGAGAGGCGTGACCAGGAGCTGAGCTTCGACCCCCTGCAAACACAACCAGGTGAATAAGCAGCACTCTAATTTTATGACTGGAATACTATCACAAAACACAAGACTCGGATACAATATAAAAACGTAACAAACATTGCAGTGTCACCAGCTGCAGCAGCAACGATGCCGGCGCCTCCGCAGGAATAATAAGCCAGTGGCTGTAACCACACACAAAGTAGACAGCTGTCTATAAGCTGCAATTCGTGTATCCAAGTTTCGCTACGAAAATTCTTGGGACTCGGCAACTCCTGGGATGACGGCGATGATGGGATGAAGAATGTCTGCTCGATACTCTGGGCTCATGGAACGTTAGCATACCACAGCATCACCATGAGCTGAAGGATGTTTTCGGGGGTCAATGCCCCCGCGGCCCGATCCCAAACCAGTCATTCTGATAGATCAAGGCCTGATCATGCAGACTGTTACTCCTGGCATCAGGTATTCCAATATGCGAACTACAGCCCTGTTGACGATCAGGTACTGACTTGAACTAAGCAAGTTTCCTTGTGAAGAAGACAGTTGGTAATCCCCCTTATGTATGGTGGGAGGCTGCTAAACAGTCTTAAGCCTCTTACAATTATTGCGTTGTTTCTGAGTGTACTCACGGCACCACAACAGCATCCCAACCATCAACAACTACACCAATATCAAGAAACAAGAGCCACACCTGCAGAGGCAGAGGTTCCTCACATTCACAACTGAGTAACTGCCAGTAACCTAAAAATTATCTCCCTCCTACTAGGCCATATGGGCCTATCCTCCCTTATACTAAACCTCAGTCCTATCCTCCCTCCTAGGCTTTTCGGGCTTCTGGTCTCTCCTACTAGCACTCCCCGCCATCAAGCCATGATAATAGTTTCCATGTTTGAGAAAAATAATTAAAATAATTACGACGTTGAGTTTTATGTGTGTTTAATAATCCTTTGTTAAGAAGCTACGACATTCAACACTGTGGCTTAGTTACCTCACAAGAGACCACTCAAGCCATTATTCAATACTGAATTGTAAGGGCTATTCTTATAGTTTAGGCGAAGCGCTAAACCCGTAAGGTCATGGTACCTTGGGAAATGGGGAGAGGGGAGGTGGTAATCAGGTTTGATAAGTGTGAAAATGATTACAGGCGTTTACGCGGTATCAAAAATGTAAAAGAGGCATAATTTGAAAACTAAATCTAGTGTTTTATTTTGAGTGAAGACCTGCCAGAGCGTCATACTTGGTTAGTTGTATAAAGTCAGTTGTATAAAGTCACGACCTTGGTGATACAAAGAGTAAATACGACACTCCTGACAACGTTGCAGTAAAACTGGCAGACTGGGAGCTACACACGATAGTTAAAAATCGCTAACTTTTGCTTTAATACGATACACAAACAAGCACTGACAATTCTGAAGCCGATCCACAAAGGAGTTCTTAAGTTATCGCACGGAAATGAAAAAAATGACTGATTAAAACAAACTCAAGCTGAACACTTCATTAATCTAGTTCTGACTATAATTAAACACCAAGAACTTGACATATTCACCTTCAGTTACACAGACATATTATTGTTCTCTCTTGAAGGAGCTTAAATAACAGACAAGTTTGCTTGCTTTCTGATGACGGAGTCTTCCGCTCCCTCACACTCCCACAATACACAGCTTATCCATTAGTAACCATAATGTAGTGAACTGACTGGCTGCTCTCTCTCTCTCTCTCTCTCTCTCTCTCTCTCTCTCTCTCTCTCTCTCTCTCTCTCTCTCTCTCTCTCTCTCCACACACACACACACACACACACACACACACACACACACACACACACAGAAAGTTCCAGGGATGGGACACAGCAACAAGGGGACATAGTTGGAAGTTGTAGACACAAACGAATCACAGGGATGTTAGGAAATATTTCTTCAGTCACAGAGTAGTCATGAAGTGGAATAGTTTGGGAAGCGATGTAGTGGAAACAGGATCCATTCATAGCTTTAAGCAGAGGTATAATCAAGCTCATGGTGCAGGG